ATGCCAGCTACCAATCCAGCCGCGCCTGGAGATGTCTCTTGGGGGCCAACTTCATTGGCGAACCCTACACGTGATATTAAAATCCTGAGCGTCACATGCTAGAGATAGATTTGTACTGTACCATCACTCGATGTGTTTACCTTTGTTTTAGAACCCTGGTTTTCGACGAACAATGTCACCAAGCCTTCGGGTGAACAAAAGCTCATTTTCGTATGCAGTACCTTTTACTGCGGGTTGAAGCTCGTCATTTTAGCGTGATCTTCACACTCAACACTAGGTGCAGGGATTGCCACGATTTGAACTCAACCCAAACATCATAAAATGGCACCTTCAACACTATGTACGACCCGAAAGAGGCAAAAATGGGCGAGCGGAACTCGTATTCGATTCCTTGATATATTTGACGAGAGAAAACCAGACGAGAGAGTAGGCACAATTTGTATTGCCACTTGGCGCGGAGCTTGGTGAAGCAAAATTGCTCCTTACGTATCAATTGTACTCAAAGTATGGCAAATTAGGAGATGATACTATTACCTGTAGAGAGCGTATCATAGAACCCACGACCAATAACAAATAATGGAAGCCAAAGCGTACAATTGATCTTCGATGAGAGCGACCTTGAGGAAGCAGCAATCCAAGCGAGCTTTGTGGCATGGTATCACAACTGTACAAGACCCTCTTGACCAGCATCGTGACAATCAGCGCACTATCGCTCATAATCTCCATCCTTGCCACCTTGATAGCTCCATGATTAATACTAGCATCCTTCCTGTACTCAAACTTGAACCCTCTCAGAACCACCACATCCCCCTCGCCTCCCCCCCCCTCCTTCACCGTTCCCGGTTCGTCCTCATGAGGCTTTCCGTTCAATTCAAAGTATGTGTGCGCTTGCCTGATCGTTTGCCAGTCATTCTCGGTTTCAGTAGTGACGAAGAAGAATGGCTCATGGTAGTATTTGATAAACGGAACTAGAGTCCAATCGTGTTCAACCCAGTCTGGAAGAGGATGTAAACTGGATTGGTTAACATAGACTGGAATCATTTCGTCGCTGTTTTTGATGTAGATTCCCAGACTACTGAGCTACATCAGCGATATCAAGGGTACTTCTTTTGGGTAGTGAAGAACATCTGAAGCCGCAAAACAACATACTGCAGGAAGAAGTGATTGCGCCTTGAGACTCCGCCAGCAAAAGAAAGGCGTAAACATTCTCATCCTGTCTATGCCGGAATTCTCGGCCACCAAGGAGCAAGTACTGCGGTACTCAAGGACATCTTGCAGAGAGTCTGCATGCGCGAAGATATGCAATGATTCCATCTTCACAGAATTCCTGCCGAGTTATCCATCCGCTCGATTTCTGTTCTTCCTCTTCGATATTCGACTACAGATCTCGGCTCCCATCTGGAGCTTGCTGCTGGAAGTCCGCGACCTTGATTGATGAAGAGGCTGGCTGATGAGGTCGGAGTAGAGTTTTGGCGTGAAGTTGGATATATAGCCACGGCAGTCTGCGGCGAGTCTGTATGGTAGGACAGCGCAGTAAACTGAAGAAGACGCTCGCCGCTGTCACTGTAGATTATTCGTTCTCGTGGACAAGTAAATTGCTTGCTCTGAGTCTGAAACTCTGTGGATCTATCATATGAGCATCAGGTTCAAGGATGAGAGCTGACTGGACCTGCACCGCGTACTTGGCTGGTACTGTACGTTTGCGCTGTCGGAACCGGAACCAGCGGAGAACACCAAAGCAGAAGTCGATCAGCGCCGACAGCCCATCATGGGTTCACATAGGTGCCCAATTAGGCTATTTTACTTGATCCCGGGGCTAGGGCTAGACCTGCACTATCAGTAGCACAATACCGGATCCTTCGGCGGTTGTGACTTGTCCAGTCAAATTCAGTGACCGTTAATCACCCCAACTCCTCTGACTGTTACTCTATCCCTCTGTTCAGGTCAGCTCTACAAATATACAAACCATGAATATGTTCTGAGAATAAGCCCTTTGTTCCCCTTGCTCCCAAAGTCCTGACCTGCAAAACCTCTTTGTTGTAAAACCGTCAATCGTTCATGTCATTATTCGACCGTCAACAGAACCTCGTCGTACGAAATACATGTGTGAGTGAAACGACTGTTCATATCCAGCTCCATCGGCCGCTGCCTGCACAGCGTTTGATTGCCTGTAGGGTAAATTATATACAACATGCCGCGTTATTTATTGCGGTTTCTGATCTTTGCGGTCTTCCTCATCGTCAGCTACTTCAGCCTGACGTCCTTGAAGAACCACCTTGATCCGAACACAGGCAAAAGCGTTGAGGAGGGCGAGGATGCGCGCTGGATCGCTACGAGCAAGCACTGGCTAGACCGGAATGCTTGCCGCTACATTGCGATATGCGGGCTGGCACATTATCACCCGGATCCGGCGGCGATACCCTGGAGAAAACGCAAGGAATTGGAACGTGTAGGAGGCTTTGCAACAAGTGCTGAGAAGACATCGAGATACGAGCAGTGGGAAGAGGCCCTACCGGAGGGCGGAAAGCTGAGACCGGAAGACTTCAATAGAGATCAGAGAGTTCTGAGAGATGTACCACAGTTTGTGCTGGATGCTGCACCTCTAATACATCTATATTCCGGGGAGGACTTTTGGCCTTCGGATATCGGGGATCACCTCAGACACATGGCGCCACATCTCAATCATACAATGATGAAGAATGTCACCGAACGAACACTACACAATCTGGACGAGCTGGATGAAGGGTTGGGTTGGCAGAGAGGCAAGTTCTTGTTTATGAAGAGCAAGGAAGATGTCGAGCATCGACCTGAATGGCTGTCAAGTGCATACAACAAGCCGATACCTTACGAGGATGACCAAGAAGAGGATGTAGAAGTCTACACCGAGTTTGTGGATATGGATACAAGTTCAGAGGAGACGCAAGAATGGCTGGACCCATTTGGAAAAGCCAACTCTTCATCAAATACGTTGCATACTTCCTCATCATCGGACTCGCAACCACATCCAGATTTGAAGCGGCGGAATAGCAATCCTCGGAAGCAGAGGCCCATCAAAAAGCCCGACACCAGTGGTTACTCCCCTGCTCCAGTCATCGTCATAATGGTTGACAAAGGAAATGGAATCCTCGATGCATTCTGGTTCTACTTCTACTCCTACAATCTCGGTACCACCGTTCTGAACATCCGCTTCGGAAATCACATCGGCGACTGGGAACACTCCCTCATCCGCTTCCACCACGGCGTCCCCAAAGCTGTGTTCTTCTCTGCACATTCAGGAGGTACAGCATTCACCTACAAGAGCGTCGAAAAAGGCAAAGGCAAAGGAAGAGAAGGTCGACCCGTGCTCTTCAGCGCACTGGGCAGCCATGCCATGTACGCACAGCCAGGAAAGCATCCTTATGTCTTGCCATTCGGTCTACTAGCAGATCTTACAGACCGTGGACCGCTTTGGGATCCTGCGCTGAATTATATGGCTTACCACTACAACACTTCCATCACGCACGACGTCGATGCGAAATTCACGCCTTCGCCTGTCCTCGAGACTACGCTACCACCAGATTTCAATATTACTATCCCGGCAAATTTCACATCGTTCGTTTTGCCCACGAACTCCTCCGATCCAGCAGCGGATGTGCCGTTCCCGCCACCGAATTACCAGCATTCACAACTCGAGCCCGCGTCTTGTAATCCTAATGCACCGATGAGTTGGTTCTGGTTTACGGGCCATTGGGGTGATAAGTTCTATGAGCTGGGTGATCTGCGGCAGTGGCGCTTTGCTGGACAGCATCATTATGTGAATGGGCCGCTGGGACCGAGATATAAGAATCTGGGACGCAGTAAGGTGTGTCAGAGCGGACGAGGGTCGGACAGCTGCCGAATACTGGATAGTATATCTGGCGGTAGGAGTTGGCTAGGCAGAAGGAGGTAGATGTGCTACGATATGTACTCATCTTATCGACAATACATAAATACAAAGAATAAGGCAGGAAACACAGTCGGAACGACTAGAGACAAAATCGAACGAAGCTTCTCTATGAGACATCCCAGGAGAGAACTTGCACATTCGGGTAGATGGTTAGATGAATGGCTATACGTGCATACATGCGATATGAAAGGACTGGGCTTTTCGGATGGGCGTTCTGCTTGGGTACGGGATAGGCGAGGAAGCCCCTATTCAGGGAGGAATTGGGCCACGATACCATTGAGGATGCGAATACGGGGTATCATGATTGCGGGATTGCGCTGGGGTTCTAGGGGCGTAGGATAGATAGGATAGGTCAATAGATGGTTCTTCTGAAGCTTCTCCTACGTTATGCTTGCTACCATGAGACACTCCGGGCATTCGCTAGTGAACGTCAACATGGAGGTCATTGGCTGTGATAAATGGCTGGATTTAAATGGCATTATTAACATGCTGTTAGTGATTAATAGGCTGCCGTGATAAAAAGAGCCGTCACAGCCATTCAAATGCCTCCTCATGAACGAACACTCTTCTGGTGACTTGAATAGGATTTCTTGCTGCAGACTTGTATGATCTATCTAATCACGTGGTCTGTGTATTTCACTTTCACTAGGTGTCTGTCGAGGCTGAAATTGTTGCTTCTTGCAAGAAAATAATTATAAAAGCCAATGTCCGTCTAGAATGGCACTACCAGGTAGCCTGGGATCACACTAGGTATCTTGCTATGGAACAACCATTGGTGTGCCAAGCCAGCAAAAAAAAAAAAAAAAAAAAAACCTCCACAATGAACCAATCTCGATTTCACCGAGTGACTTAACCTGCTACAGGCAAAAAGTGAAGATACGCAGACCAAAAAAAGGCAAAAGATATGGATCCAACCGCGAGTCGAACGCGGGACCTCATCCAACTTAGGAGCTTTTGAAGGCTCAGGGAGAACCCTAAGGATGAATCATACCACTAGACCATTGGACCGTCCTATTGCTGATTTATATCTACCGTCTTCAAAAATTACTATATATATGATAAAAAAGTGGGAAGCGGGCATGACTTCTTGGCTTTATTTACTGGGAAGAATGCATATTTCGAGTCATGCCTTGAACATCCGAGGCTTGAGGATCGCGAGCTACTCGTAGAACGAAAAGACATACACTACGGTCATGGTTTCGAGATGTTGTTGACTCATCTGCATACATTGTCGACAGGATATTGACATTATCAATTGTGTTTTGCGTTCTGGTCACAACAGCCAAGCAGTTCATAAGTCTTCGCACGTCTCCTAGTCCACCTCAAAGTCGGCTAGATCCACGGTTCTGTCAAGATACAAGTACAGCGTGCGCGATGCATCAAATATTACTTCTTCTTCATTCTGCGGGCTCATACGCTCAATTTATCATCGCTTCGTCATCTCCGCCGAACAACGAAAGAGTCAATTTGCGATTGGCAGCTTATATTCATGTCCTACAGCAAGCAAGGGCTGAATGCTTCAAAGCGAATATTCCTCTACATTCATCATGTTTACCGAAGTGAACTGGACCGCTTTCCTCGATGCAACCTCTCGAGTCCGAGAGTCTACCCAACTTGTCGAAATCATACAGCTCCCCCGGCCTTCTCGTTGGTTATCCCATCTCCTTCCATTAAACTAACCAGCTCTGCGATACGGGAAAAGTCTTCGAGTCACTCGACGTAGGTCTAGTACAAATGTACAGCTTGGACGACAACGACGTCCTTAGCGGCGTCACGTTACTCGCCTATTCTGCTGCACCAAGATACAGCGTCCACTACTCCACAACGGCTTCTAAGAATTCGGTACCCCGGATCCGAATAATGACTTGGGCTGGCTCTGGCACATGTTGGTGTGTTACACTCCCGAAAATTCCCTGGTCCTCACCAACTACCGTATCTGGGACAACCTGGGTTACTTCTCTCAGTCACATCGTCAGCATATGGCCCAGCACTATCAAGAGCTCGCACTAGCGGCTTTGCAATCACCAGATCCTGACCTTTCGGTGCTATCGCTAGCTGGCATGATTCTACCATAACGACGACAAGTATGCAAGGTGAGGAGACTCAATCACGACTAAAATGAAATACTGCAGGTAGATATGTATAAGCTCCTTCTACAACTCCAACATTTGCCTTTACTCACGGTATTGTTGAAACAGAATAGCAGTCCACCGTCCTCAGGTGTGTCTTTTGGTGATGGGTACTTAGGGGACAACGTATTGCCAACGTGAGAAAACACAGTTATGGCACTTGCCGCAACACATATTGATAGCGGGCAATTAAATACTCTCAGCGGTTCTTGGATGTTCCCAGTGCACGCTGCTCTTATTGTAAGCCAGGAGATAGACTGGTGGCGTTCAGACTTCACTTCTAGCCATCACAAGATAGCTTCAAACGCTTCCGTTAGATGTTTACTGTTCACTAAGTTCTCAGACAGAAGTTCTTGATGCTTTCCTCCGTTGGTGACCATGTTGACAGTGAACTATATCATAGTCCCAATGCAGCTTATGCACCCTCTAACAGCAGCCTTGTGCACAGATGATTACTGAGATCACTATCAATTGTTGCCCTTCCAAAGAATGGCGTCTCCAGGAGTGCCAGTGCTCTGGAGTGTGAATCATCGTTGGCTTTTCTTTGCGGCCTTGCCAAAATAAAAAAACGGGTGCAGCCGTCGCTGATTGAATGCATTTCATTTGGTAGCTATGCCTATTTGACTACTTAGCGAAGGTGATTTTTATCGTTAGGCTGGCAAGAGCACAGCACGAAAACCTCGACACCAGAAACCTCTTCCCAGCGATCTATTTTTTTCTTTGACCTGAAACATAACAAACAGAACGGCAAGAACCGCAAGAACCAAGATGACATCTCTTATCCGATTCCCAACTACAATGGAGTTGAAGCCACTCAGGCACATTGCTCAAAATTCTCCCAAGACAGCCTGTATCACGAACGCAGCCATCCCGCACTAGTGACTTTCATTGGCAAAGTCAAGATTCATGGCACCAACACATCGATCATCTTTTGCAAGAGAGCGCACCTCAAGTTCAGGTAAGTGACGAGTACAATTATTTTATCCGCATCAGGGCCCAGTGAGTATGGCAGAACCGCATAGCTGACGCTCCAACCAGAGTCGAAATAATGTCATCTCTACCAGAAGCGCCGATGGGTATGGCTCAGCCGAGGACAGACGAATCGAGTAATAGCAAAGGACGTGCTCAAGGACAACACGAACATCAATAAGCTGGACCGTTAGGCTATCAAGGACGCTGTGAAGGAAGAGCTTACTGAAAAGAAAGTACTCGGTGTGCACAAGGGCGCGGGAAAGTCAGAAATGGAGAAGATTGTCATAGCGAGCGAATGCATTCTTCCTAGCCCGCAAGAAGATCTGAAGTATTGATTTGTATGGTTTTTGGAACATTGGCGCGGGTTGAGGATAGTCTATGGAGCCACGCTCTACAAACACCCATCTAGTGTGGGCTTTTTATGCGTTGTTCTTACAATCAGTCAATCGTGCCTATTATTGTTCTGTGCATCAGCTTTACGGTAGTCTTGTGTTGGCTCAGTTGCGGCCGTATTCCGATACTTGATACTCACGACAATCAAATTCCTCAGGATAATATGTTTGAGGTGTAGTATTCGTAGCTCAACAATACTATCCGTACAGCGTTTGCATGCCCTTCGACGCCACGACGGCCATCCAGTCGCACTTTTTATATCCCTCGTTATCTAGGCGCCAGATCTCTTCCACTATGTTGATGATTCTCGACACCTGCTCGAGACCAACAACTTCGCCATGTAGACGAAGTCCTAGTCTAACTTGATTCCGCCAGTATTCCGTCTTTTTGGTTGACGTACATAAGAAAAGTCTCGAATGCTCAACAATCGTATCTGGATCGGTCAACTCTCTCGACGAAGTCTCAGGGTTCACGAGCCATGTTGAGGCAATAATAACAGGCAGTCCTTGGAGTACTCGGGTTCCAGAATTTGATGGCACTGAGACCAAGATATTGCATATGTGAAACGCGAACGCTCTCAACCAATTATGCTGCTGGGCAGTATATCTTCCTTCGGAGTTGGTCACCATTGCCTCCATCTCAGCCTCAAGTGACGGAACTTGAGCTGCTAGATTATCTGTATAGTTTCGTGCGAATTGTCTCTGAAGTAAAGATGGAAATGTGGCATATAGCTGTAGCAGTCCTGCACATTGATACGCTTCTCCGACACTTAATATTTCGTCGATTGTCGTCAGCGGATCCATTGGATCTGCGAAGTTTGGGAGATGGACTTGAGCTTTATCCAACAGCTCCAATTCCAGAGCCTGAGCCTTGCGTTCTTGCAGGTCTGTGAATGCCACGTTGTTTGACGAGCCGCTTGTTTGCTGCATTCGACACAAGGATCCAACCTTACCAACCATGACAAGAAGTGGAATGGAGAATCCCGCCAGCGGATGTGGAAAGATCCTGCGAAGAGCGTCTGGAACAGCTGTGTCGTCCACGAAGTCATGGCTGATGTCTAATTCATTAACGGTTTTGAGCAGGTTGTCTTGGTATTGGTATGACCTCTCTGCATCGCCAACCACAAACGAGGATATTGTCAACCAGTAAACGAATGCGCCGAGGATAAACGTTTGTTGATACTGTAATCGCTTCCTTTGTGGCTGGAGCCATAGATACAAAAGGACTTGCCCTCCGAGGACATGACTACCACCAACATCGTTAACGTCATACCAAGCAGATGTCAGACCTGCGATAATAGAGCTAATCATCAGCTCGTCGGTAACAATGTTGTGTCGTGGTTGTCGTGGTCCCTGAACCTTGGAGATATCGTCTCGGACAGCAGCGAACGCTTCTGATTGGAGCTGAAGAGCTTTGATGCGCATCTCGGGGACCTGTCTACTGAGATGCGCTGCTGAAGAAGCTTGTAAGAGTAGATATACAGGCCGAGAATAGGACATCATAGTTGAAGCCAGCTTTCGAAATGGGTTAAGGTCAGAATCGAAACATCCCGCTATCTTACAAATTTTGGTGAAATAGTGATGAATTAGTACAGAAGCTTCGTCGTCAACAGGGAGTGTAGAGGTTAAGACTTCATCCTTGGAGGCACTTCTGTAGCTTTGCTGGGTGAGAACTTGACTTTGTCTGAGAGTCTTGGACTCATCCCTCCATTTCAGGGGCTTTTGGTATCCCGGACATTGCAGCATCTGTCGCTTGCATTGAGTGCAAGAGGGACTACTTAGATCGCACTTGACCTATACGAATATGATTAGCACGAAGTAAGCCATATTATAAGCAGGACATACCCGTCTTCTCTTGCACTGCTGGCATCCTGCACGAGACTTGATCCGTCGCGCCTCTGACATTCTATCCACTTGTAGGCTTGTCAAACCATCACGTAGGAAGCACCTCGAGCTAAGTAGTTGTATAGCGAGCGGCTTCCTAGTGAGTACATCGCGAGTGATAAAGTACAAGGCTTTTGATGGGAGGGCTTTGAGTTGCCAAGAAATGGTTCGGGCACTGTCACGTGTCTCTCGTTCTTTTTCACCTAAAGCAGATTAGACCATAATTCAAACATGGGTCCATATTTTCAGACATCAATACAGAACTTCATCACACCAGTTATGCCTGCTCAATGGACCGCTTCGTTCTACCACTATACATATGCAAACCATCCATTCCAGGTATCTAATTCCAATCAGATCGGCTACCCTAGAATCTGGGTTAATTGATCACCCCAATATTAGGAGACCCTTATCCCCAATTGGCCAGGTACTCACATCTTGCTTCGCAATTCGAATGAGATTAGGCGAATTGATGTTGGATTAGATAAGATGCTAGAGATGCTGTAAGGAGACTATTATACTTCTCTCCAACCTCCTCTATATCGAGAAAACCAAAGAGCTTCGTGCTGTTTCGAGCTCGCCGACAGGAGCAGACTTTTCATCTATATCTATAGCCATTCCACACTTATAG